ATTCATTGTGTATGTCCTAAATAGAAGTCTGTGCAATATCATGATTGGGGGTGGTGGTTTGGGCAGGATTTATTTAATGTTTTGAAGAAAAGCAGTAAATTGATTTCTAGTACTTTTATGGTGGGGGGGGAGGGGAACTCTGTGCAAATTAACTTCAAACTAAGGGCAAAATAAAAAGCAAAACAGAGGACCTTACTTTTTCTCTGAACTAGAATTTAGAAAGTAACTACATTCAGAGCAACAAGGTTTATGGTGCAGTAAGTACAAAATTTAGACCGGCGGCTAAATCAGTACGTGAAGCCTTTACGAAGCTCTATTATCACCCAAGTCCTACATTAAGGAAGAAAGTAATTAATTTTTAGACTTCTGCCTAGGGCATGTTTGACACAAACCCTATACAGTTTCTTTTAAAAGATGTCTGATTACTAAGTAGTTTTGCTTAGAAACTACACTTTTACCTTTAAAGTGCAAAGGCAAAGATTTTAGCACAGTGATAAATGTTGTCCTGTACTTCGTACAGTCCTTCAGGTAAGAAAAAAGTAAAGGTTTTAGCTTTTCGAAGAGGGTGTGTTACCAGAATTGTAATTTGCATTTGCAAATTCACAGGATTTTTACTATTAAATTAAGCCCAACAGCCAGTTTAAACCATGAGGGAGTGGTAGAGCTGAAAAGTGGTGTATCAGGTACTGTAACTGAATTACAGGAGGAATAAGCCACCCCTTCAGGGAGACACACAGCAGGGAGGACCACTTGCAGCACAAAGCTGTCAGGGAGATCTCACAGGAAACAGGCAAGTCTGGAAGTACTAGTGCTAGTTGGACAAGAAATAGATGACAAGTTATATGAGTATCTGCAAGAGATGTGTGTATAATTTGTCACTACATGTGTGGTATATACAGCTATCTTTTAAATTAGTTCAGATTCCTTAGTTCTCTCAAAATTTGAACCCTAAAATTCTGAAGCATTATGCTCCCTTGCTTCTTACTTAAAGCATATAAACCCTTTTGAAAAAGTTCATCTTGCTGGTTTTAAGCATTCTTAGACTTTTCAGTTTTGCATATGAAAAGCTGAAACTTTTGTGTGGCTGTCAGTGAACAGAAGAGCCTCTGTTACAGTACAAAGTGTAATCTGACCTATAGCACCTTCCAAAGAGCACCTTCCAAAAAGCAAATACTGAATGTCAAGCCCACAGACATGCAGTGCAGAACAGGTCCTGACAGTATTAGCTACTGAAGATGCATATGCAATTCCTTGCCTCAATGCATTCTCTCCAATGCTGCGGAGCCTCTCTGGGATGGACTTGTAGGTGGGCAAAAGAAGAGGAGAAGGCTGCTGGGCCTGCAGCTGTCATAGCAACTACTCCAGAATTTTTTTAGGAAGGCCATTAGGAAACACAGGAAAAACCCCTTTGATCACCAAGGGATTTTGCAAACTAGGCCACTTGCTGTGCACTGGAATTATAATTTATTATGTATTTTGCAAAAACAATAGTCTTTAAATGTGCCTAATTCACTGTAGAGCAGGCATGTTTTTAAGCACAGAAAGCAATTGAAGGCCTGAAGATAATCTGAAGTTTAAAAATGTCCAATTTTTAATATATTTGTCAAGGAAACATACCTTTCCTTAAGTCATCATTTAAGTGATTTATTTAGTCTTCTTGTAGACTAGAAATTTGGAGAGTATCTACTCCGTCTGTTTAGAGATAAAGTTGTTCATTTACCACCTGACAGAGAGAGCTACCCTGGGGGTTAACTACAGGTTCTTGAGCTGCCTGAGGGAGGGGGCAGCAGTTTCTGTTAATTCACTTTTTATAGTCATTGCCTAAGCATTTGCAAAGCCGTGTTTGCAAATTCACTGCAAAGAGTATGGCCAGCCATGTGAGTGACTATGTTGATGTTTGCTGCAGTGCAGGTCTCAGTGATACCTTGCAGCAGTGAGTTCAAGAGATTTTCTACCACCTACTGTTTAGAAAAATATAATTCATTACTATTAGATTTATGACTTTTTCCCATTTCAGTGGAGACACCTTTTCTCCTCAGATGAGTTAGGGTGAATAGTTTCTGATCTACATTTTCTCTCTGCTGTTTATTTTCTTGTATCCTTTGATCACGCTCATTCTTAGTCACACTTCCAGTCCTTTCGAGCAGTTTGTCATTCTTACTGCACCTTTTTCTGATGTATTTTTCTTAGATAGGCTAACCAGAAATGAACAAAATATTCCCGATGAGACCAAATTATCGATATACATAACAAATAAAACCCTGGCTCTGTTGAAGTTGCTGTGAATTCACTGTCATCGAAGGGCTGAGGTTTCTCCCAGTGCTGTCACATTTCCCACATTATTCTTCCTCCCATTTTTCATACATTCTATTTTAGAATCTGGCAACTTAGACTTAATCTAGAATCCTACAGATTCCATTAAATCCATTAAATTGCTGTTAGTCCTCAGATCAGGAGTTCTTTTCTGTGGACATGATTAGTTCCCTCCCCAAACTACTTTGATGAAAAAGGTCATATTTTGTTCTGATTCCCATTTGTTATGGTGTTAGTAACTAATCTTGATGTTAGTTTTGAGTAGCTGAAACTGAGAGAAGCAGCACAGACTGAAACAATGCTGTTTGTGTTCACAATGACCTTTAGCTGCAAAACCCACTAAAATACATTATTTAGTATATGAAAGCAAACAAATTTTTTGCCTCAGTAAATGACTGTCCATAGTGCACTATGAGTATGAGGCAAAACAACTCAGAGTTTTTTAGTGTCTGCAAAAGAAATCTGTTGGTTTTCGTTTCCTCTCCAGAAACATCTAAGAAATGTTCAGATTGTTGCTGCCTAATAAATACAGTAAATGAAATGTTAATAAATTGCCAGCAATTTAGCCTGACAATAACATGGATTGACAAAATTGATTAAATTGATTATGTTTCATATATTTACAATATATAGACACAAGCCTAATTTATTTTCTGAAGAGTTCAAGGTAGGTATCACTGGTTTAAAAAAAGGCAAAAACAAAACAATGGAGTAATGTTTGTGGTTGCTATCTGCAATAATCTAATGCTGACAGAGAGCAGTATTTTATTTAGTAATTAACAGTGTAAAGGGAAGAGAAGCTGTCATGTTGGTTCTTAAGCTGGGGAATGTGATGAAAGATGATATCTGCGATCTCATCCTTTCCACTTGTTTAGGATTGTCAGAATGAGAAATGTCAGCATTATGAAAGCTCAGCTCTGCTCTTGATATGATAAAACCCTTCAAAAGCCAGTCTTTCTTTCCCTCTCCCCCTCCTTTCTCCCTCTCCTGCTTGCACTTGCTTTTTTTATTTATCCTGTTTTGTTAGATGGCAGAAATATAATTCTTTTCTTTCTTCCTATTATAAGCCACCATTTTTGTTTTATTATATGTTTCACAACCCCTAATGCCCCACTGAAAATTACCTTGTTAAATGACAGTGTTTCAAAGCCATGAATCCTTTCCACCATTCCCTCAGAGGTTTGAAACAGTCAACAGACTGTAAAGAATAAATAATAAAAAAGTATTGATTATTTTGATGACTGTGAGATTCAATTAAGTATTAATTTTGCCCTCCAGTGGACCTATCAAGGTATTCAAAAGGGAGGATTCGGCTCAACTAAATGCGTGCTGAGTGCTTCAGCCTTAAATAGGGAGAAAATGTGTTTACCTACAGTATTTGAAGAGGAGTGCATTGATGCACAGAGTCCAATATTTAAGTGCTGTGCAAATTGAGCCCTGGTGACAGTGACATTGTTTTCGGCAGTATGAGTATTGACTAAAGAAGAGCATTTGATGACAGCTTAAACTATTTGTATTGATTAACATTTTCATAGATTATCATGTGTCATATCAAATTCACTTTTCAGACATGAATACATTAAAAAACCCACAGGCGAACATCGACCAATGTAAGGACGGGACAGAGGGAACATGCTAGCCAACCTACTTGCTCGCTGGTCACCTGTTCTCTGCATAAGAACCATTTAGGCATGAACTTTGCAATAAATAGCTGCTAGAGAGATCAACAAGGTCACTTGCTCTTTTTCTTTTTCTTAGTTTTTTTTTTCTACTCTGCTTTCTGTGCTGTCATGATATTATGCTTATTATTTTGCAAACGGAATAACCGAGTGTGCTTGGAAATAATGCTTGACCCCTAAACATCCTCAATGAGCAGAAGACAAAACAGATTCTGATCATCAAGGAAAAATTTAGATGTGTACATATATATATATATGTGTAATGTTCTATGGGGCATATAATATTGCAAACACAAGAATAATTGCAAACTGTATGTGTAAGTATCTTCCCTAATTTTATCTTTTATAAAACGTTTTCTGTGGTTTTTTATTTTCAAAAGAAAAATGCGTGTTTGTGTCTTTATGGACTTTTGGAGCATAGTATCCCAACAACAGGAAGAGTTAGAAGAAAACTGTATCTCTTTTAAAAGTATGTAATGAAATGGCTATTTGATGCTGTGTATTTTCATAGAAATGCTGTAATGCTAGGAACTGTGTATTTGATTTTGTTAATGTTATACAGCTGAGGATGCCTCTTTAAATCGCTATGGAGCACTCACAGGGGGCTCCTCTTCTGTGGTATCGGAGCATATAGGAATTTCTTCTCTTACTATGCTAAGGACAGGGTGAGGTGTAAAAACATACACACAAAAAAAGCACATCCCACAATTAAAGCTGTGTTGGTTATGTTGCTTTCATAGAAGTTTTTCTCCAAAGCATCCTGAATCTCTCACATGCTAGTTGAGCTTTAATAGGGTGGGGAGTAATGGAAAACTCATTGGATCTGTAATAGCTCTTCACTTGACTGCAGCCAGCAATAACAGCAGGAGCAGCCACAGATAAGAGAGAGAGAGAGAGAGAGAGTGTGTATGTGTGTGTGTGAGAGAGAGAGGGAGTGGAAGAGAGAGTACACGCACACCAAAGCTGCCACTTTTTTTCCCCCTCACTCTTTTTTCCCCCCCATTCTAGGATCCAATGATAGCTGGACAAGTCAGTAAGCCCTTGCTGTCACTGCGGAGTGAAATGAATGCAGAGTTGAGAGGTGAGGACAAGGCAGCTACTTCAGACAACGAGCTGAATGAGCCCTTGCTTGCGCCTGTGGAATCAAATGACAGCGAGGACACTCCCAGCAAGCTCTTCGGTAAGTCTGTCTAGGTATTTCATTTCACTGCTACCATGTTGTCCGGAAGAGCAATCTTCCCGTTCTTTTTTTTTTTTTTTTTTTTTTTTTTTTTTTTTTTTTTTTTTTTTTTTTTTTTTTTTTTTTTTTTTTTTTTTCCCCGCTCAATTTTCTTGTAAGTAGGAAAGAGTAGCTTGGAGCATGCAGGCACAGAGTCCTCTGCTCCTATTGCAACTGGTTACCAGAATGACAGCATTAGTCCTGAAAACTTTTGCTAACAATTGACGTATTTAGTGCAAGTTGCAGATATTGTATGCATTTTTTTTGAACCATGGACTGTAACGTAAAATTATGTGTGTGTGTGTGTGTGTGTGTATTATTTTCCAGGAGTTCTTTAACACTTATTGTGGTAGATGCTGGTGTGTTGCACACGCTACCAGCTTTTTCTGAGGCTTGATTAAACTGAAAAGTTATAATTCTTTTATGGTAAAAATAAATCTGGCTGAAGAGAACTGAAAGAGTCTTGTAGAAAGCACTTCAGGCTGAGTAAACAAAGCCTAGCAAGGGTATTGCACGTGGACCTAAGGTTTTTGGAATTTAAATCAGAAATTAAATATTTCTCCTCAAGCCTGTGGAAAGAGATATTACATTTTGATTTTTTATTCATTTTGGAATAGTCCAAATTGTGTGAGCTAAGTGTAACATTTCACAATCAAAACAAAAGCAGTGAGAGTGGCACTCCAACACAGACATCTGTCATTCAAACGGATGACACCCTGTAAGCCAACTCAAGCAACTCTGATCTCTAATCAGAAAAGGGAGCAGAGCTGTTGAGGCGCGTGCTTGAGTGATAGATGTTGATAGGTGTCTGAGCTGTAGCAGCACTGTATGGTACATTGTGACATTTGGGGTTTAGAAGGACTACACTCCTGAAGAAGTCCCTTTTAATTATTTCTACTTGTGACCTGAGACAAACCTTAATAAAAATGGAGCACTTACTTATTTTTTATTATTCTATCGGTGGAAGTCAAAGGGAAAAAGGTCTTGTTTAAAGGGAATGCAGCTCTAAGGGAGAGGGGGTGAGAGCCCATTTTCTAAGATTTAACTTTTGATTTCATAATCTGTAAGGAAATCTCTAGCAGTGTTTAGATTTCAGTGTTCTACCTACAGTAAGAATTGTAAGATTTTTAAAAAACAAAAGAACACGTGCAATTGTATATTATAATATTCTTTACACATTACTGAAAGATACAACACAGAATGTTTTACTAAATAACCTCACTACAGATGCAGGAAAAATAATAATTAAATCCCCCTAAAATTTAATTTCTGGATTGCAGTAATTACTGTTACTGAATATCACATCCATTTTTAAGCACCGTCTTAGTAATCTTTGTTTCCATGGAAAGCATAATTTCCGTTAGCAGTTTGAATGTTCAAAAAGCATATAATAATTATTTTTGCCCATTTTATCCAGGAAGGAACTATAATGTCTAAAATTTAAAAAGCTACCAGTTATTTAGAGTAATATAGATATCTTCAGCTGTGTTTATATGTTTTATTTGCTCAAATGTTTTATTCCCTCTATTAAATACAGCAAGTCACATAGAAAGCAAAAAACTGAGCTTTTAATTTCAGGATAGTGAAAAGTCTGTTTTTTTCAATCAGGCAAGTATTCTAATAAAAGGCAGGATATTTTTTGAGCCCTTGTCATTTGTATGTTCTACAGTGGTAGTGAAATATACACAGACACTTTCATTAGAGTTGTCATGTGTGATATAGAAATGATGTGTAACCATATTTTGCTCCTTTCTGGGCTGAAAATATAATTTATCTCACTAAAAGCACTAGTGAAAGAGCTAAAAATTCATATATTGTGCTTTTTCTATTGGCGAGTGTAAGATGCTTGCTAGTCTGATCTTTATACTGCCAAAAACATGTTCCCAAGTAAACAAAAGTAGGTGAAATAGGCCAAATGCCTCGGTATGAACTTACGTCCATTTATTGAGGTTTTGTTAGAATATGAGAGATGCTACAGATCTATTAGCAACAGCTCTTTTCAATTGTGTTTAGTAACTTTTATAACAACAAAAAAAAAAGGGATAGTGGGGCAATTTTGATACATTTGAGGATCAAATTGAGCCAATTTAAAATAAAGATGATTAGATGTTATATCACAGTGCATCCCTTAAGACAGATTTGCAGTAAACACTAAAAATTATCAAGTACAGTTGTGTTTAAAGCTCTGATACATAAATAAGGAACATCACCACACTATAGTTTTTTCTTTGTTTAATGTTATGAACAGCATGTTAGAACTGCATATTTTGTACTTTTCTTTGCAGTGTATGAAGTTAAATTATTATAAACATATTGACAGGTGTTGGCATAGAGAATAACAACTTTCTCCTTCAATCTTCTTTCATGTAATCAGAGACAATAAATATATTTTTAAAATATAGCAATTAATACATGCTGTGTGAAAATTTTCCCCAAATCTCTTAAGCAGGTGAAGGAGGAGCATTTTAGAAAGTCAAGAGGAGACAGGTCCCTAGAGAATAAAGTTTTTCTACACTGCTGCTTTTCATTTTTTTTAAGGATTTGTGAAAATCATGTACTGATTTAGTTGGAATGAATGACCAACATTTGTGTGTCTTGTTGATGTTAGCAATATTTCATAAGTCTTATTTTCATATAGATGAACAGAGTTGAATGATGAGATGCGAAGAGCTTTCTTTTGCCAGACACATTCTGCTTAGCCTCTTTTGATGGATGAGTTTATTTCTGCAAAGGCCTGCCTTTCTCACCTCTACCTTTTCCTAAAATTCACCTGCTTATTCTCAAATTTTCTTGTTCTGGTATTTCACTGCATGCCATAGAAACAGTGGGTATTTGGTTTTTGTTACAAGTTAAAATGGTACCTTTTCGGTAGCAGTCCCTGCTGCCAGTGAGGAAGGGACAGGAGCACAATTAGTTGTATTTATTTTTTAAGAGAAGCACTAAACTTTTGATTCTCTTATGGGTGCTTTGCTATCAGTTACAAAGAGGATGAATGCCGCAGCATTTTAAGTCTCAGAAACAGCAGCATTAAGTATAAGTGCCTGACAGTCTGAAATAGCTTCCACCTGAAACTGGTGTCCAGGTCTCTGGGAAGATGCACTTTGTCACTGTGCTGCAGCTGTTCCCTGTGGGTGAGGACAGGAGCAGCTGTGATTAGAGGGGTTGCATCTTATTGTTGTTTGCTGGCTTGTTTTCTGCTGGTGGTGGTGACTTCTGTTTTTCATTTTAAAAATTTGTATCTCTTTGAAAGAAAATGCTGTCACATAGTCCAGGAGTCTGTAATCCTCTACTTGTGCTTTTATAGCAGTGAACTCTTTTGAAATTGCATACTTCATGCTAAAGACTTTTGATGCGGAAGTTACATGAACCCAGAAAAAAGTAGAAAAAGTCATCAAAAATTAGGCGCAAAATGTTGGTAAAGGAATCTGTCCTGAGACTCATTACCGCAAAACACAGTTTTGAAATGTGAGTTAGCACAGCTACACTGTTTTGGTTACAAAAATCCCAGTATGAGGTAAAGTTGCTTTGTGAGAGATCTTGTGGTGAGTTATTAATTTAAAAAAAATATTTGTGAAGTAATATTTCCTATTTTAACCATAGAATCTAATTAAGTAACATAGAAACTGAGTATGGCTCATGACTTTTCTAGCAATGTCATTTTCAGATCAACTTGTCTTGCTCTGCAATATCCTTCAAAATACTAGCCTGGGCCAAATGCCCCCGGTCTTACTAAAGAAAGCTTTTGTTAATGTTAAGCAGCAGTTTCACTTGAATAAACATACTGGTATTTTATCCTAACTTGACTAATCCTATTTGTTATTTTTGACTATTTTCAAACAAATCTAGTATAAATTATGAAGTATTGCTCTGAAAAAAAAAAAAACTTAGAAGAAAGAAAGCACCCGTCATGTTTAGCTGTGTGATAAATTGTTGAGATTCAAAAGTTAGACACCAAGGGTATGTCATATATAAAATTCTCAGTATGGTAAAAAAATCCCAAGAATGAAGTGGCTGATCCAAGCATCAAAACTCCCTGTGGACTGAGGCTGACTTTCCTGGAGTTAGATCTAGCCCTTAATTAATGCTTAATTGAAGGCAATTTGTGACATAATTAGATGACGGAAAAAACAGCTGGGAGTGCATGCACTTGCACTATTAAGGTAATTTTACTGTATGATAAAAAGTTATTGTTTGAGATTCAGTCTGTAGTTCTACAAATAAAAAAAATAAATAAAGCTGTAAGTATATAGTGAGGGCAATACCCAGCCTCTAATTTTGGAGCAGAAGCATTTCCTATTTAATCATTGCAGGACAGAAAAAGAAATTGACTACTAACCTTTTTTTTTTTTTTTCTCTTTGCTGATAAGGTTTTGTTCCAGTGAAATGAAATCTTGAGTTTCTTGTGCTAGATCTGATGACTGTGGTTTTCTTTGGTTCATTAGTGGGCTTTTGATCTTTTCATAATGCTGTGTATGCTTGAAATATGGAGTGGGGAATGGGAGTTAAATGTCTGCATGCATTTAAATAAAAAAGTTTTTATTTTCAAACCTCTGCATTGCCTTTGGGATTTTATTTTCCTTCCCCACATTGTTACCCATGTTTCAGAACTGTGTGTAGCCTTCTGTGTAACCATACATATATATCCTTCAGAGAAATAAAGTAGAAGTTGTTTCTGGCTGATTGTTTTTCTAGTAGATCTTTTGTATTACTCTTTAAAGAAACATATGTTATATATGTTTTTTGGTTTGTTTTGTATTTTTTTTTTAATTGGAGTTGCCTTGATTAGAATTTATGGCAATGGAATATTTTAAGTTACAAAGGATAAAGGACTAAATTGTCTTTTACCTCTTGAGACAGTGGTCTCTGCAGGTCAGAGCAGAGGTCATTGCCAGGTTGCTCTGAGGAAGCTGACATTATCATCCTTAACAGTATATCTAGCCTATGGGGGCCTTCAGACTATG